TTGGGACCATGGGATGCTAACGCGACAGGTGTTCTGTTAATATATCAAGTCCAATCAAATTGCTGGTGTGATGTGATCTCAAGCAGGCTCACACCCACAATAAGACTTTTTTTTTTCCTTGCTGTCTGCGTGCCCACAGCTGGGCGGCTTCGCACAGGAGTGAAGCTGAAATTGAGGCCAGGTCTTTGCTCTCCATTTGCTCTGTCCTCCTGTCTTGTGCTGCATGGCATCTCTTACGAGCACACAGTCCTCATCACCTCCTTAACCACTCTCTGTTCCCAGGCACACTGTGGTTGAGAACCCCGCCCTGTGCCACACTCCACACCAGGTGCAGCCTGTTTATTAATTATTGATGACCTCAATGAAATTCCACAAGCACTCTGGGTTGCAAGTACAAGAATGTCATTACCCACATCTTGTGGTTGAGGTTAACAAAGCTATCCGGTGCAGAGGTGTGGGGGAAAGCTGTATGGATCATAGCCAGAAACTGCACGAACTTTGGAAAGTTACAGAAACACTGCAACCCATGCTTGCACATAAAATGGTATAATAATGGTGCAGACCCCATCGTATTCTTGTGCATATCAGCAAGGCAATGTCCCCAACAGTTGGCTAGATCTGTGGGTGACTCTGCGCAACTACTGCGTGAATATGCTGTATGTTTAATGCTGTCTTCCCCCCAAGCCATGCTGCCTTTTCCATAGCAAGTTACAGAGCGACTTCATATGTTAGTGGAAATGAGATTGAAAGATAAGGTTATTTTAATACAAAAAAATTGAAATGAGCTTCAAAATGTTCATGCAAAAATGCATACTATGCAAAATTATTTCCAAATTTCAGAAGTTTTTTCTATTGTAATAAAATTTTCTTTTAATTTCATTTAATTTCATTAAATTTTCATTTAATTTCATTAATTTCATTTAATTTCATTTCTTTTAATTTCATTTCCCATTAGTTTTGGGAGGCTACTTACAGGCAGTATACTGCGGCTTTCAGATATGATCCTGCGTCAGCGCCTCTCTGCTCTCTGCCTTCCTTGGGCAAGCCCTGTTGCTGTTAGCAACTCCCCGACGTGACACCTGTGCACTGAAGGTGTGCTCCAAGTATAAAATACATGCTAGGCATCAAAGAAAAACAGCACTCAAAGTATCCAGCTAATAATGTTTTAATTGTTATATTTGAAGTTATAATGTTTCATATATATAGACATATACTTAAAATAAGGATCATGGAGGCTGTGTTGTGGCATTGACGGCAGTGCCAACATCCCATAGCAAAGCTCTGGTCCCAGTCCTGGCTGCTCTGCCTCTATCTAGGTCTCTGCTACCATGCCTGAAAAAGTGGCAGAAGATCGTCCAAGTTGCATGAACCCTTTCCACCCTGCTGGGAGACTTGGATGGATTTCCTGGCTCCTGGTGTCAGCCTGGTTCAGCCCACAGCTATTGTAGCCATTTGGGAATTGACTCTCTAGGTAAGAGATTTTGCTCTCTCTCTGTCTCTCCCTTTCCTTCTCTGTTGCTCTGATTTCCAAACAAATATTTAAAAACTAAAAGACTGATTTTTTTTCCAGCTTATTTTTTTCTATGAAATACTGGCTGTGAGATGTTCAGGTCTATGTATGCTTCCATTGGCCAGCACGAGCGTACAGTTGTCTTCCATGCATTCCCCAAAGGATTCCCCAGCGTTTCTGAGTCAGCCCTGCTGCAGGAGGATGTGTCCTTCAATGATCAGTCAGGTGACTTTCCTGGTACAATCGGCTTTGGGGAGGAGAGGCTCAGCCCATGCTGCTGATTGGGTAAGGGACAGGGCCTGGGATGAGGTATCTCTGGTTTCCAACAAGACATACTGCAGCAGTGAACTCTCACTGAGGGTTGTCACTAAGCCATGTACACAAGTTCTCTCTTCTCCCTTTCCAATCTGGCATTGGGGCCTGTTGAGCCTGGGAGGCCAGGGGAATGGGTTCGAAACCCAAAGAGCAAGCTTGTGCAGTAGGTGGTTCTGCCTAAGTAACCCCAAGCTGAGTGCGTGTGCATGGGGAGAAGGAGAGGAAGGAGACATTTGTCCTTACAACTGGGCCAGGAGCAGAGGGGAGTAAGGAGCACTCTTCCCCAGCTACAGGGCTGTAGAGGAGCACTCAGTGAATGGAGACCCAGGGTGCCCTGGGGAGGCTGAGCCCCCAGCCCTGCTGCAGGCTCATTCTGAAGCCTTTGAGCCACCAGCTTTCAAGTGACTACATAAGCTGGGGATGCAACAAGGGATGATACTCACCCAGATTTCCCAGCTTTTGTCAGATTCAGTGGTAGAAGGAGATTTTCTCCATCCTAGCAGGATAGAGGCTTAAAAGAAGCAGATGAAATGTGCTTCATTCCAGACTGTGGGAGATATTGGGGTCCTAGGCCAAGGGCATTCAACTTATCTTGGTGCTTCCAGAGTGCATAGTCTCATTTATGCTTGCAATGAATGCTGAACAGCTTGGTCTCTAAGCCAGTGCCTTGCCTAGTAAATCACTCATTTCTTTATGCTTTTTCTGGAGTGGAGCAATGCCTAATGGTCAGAGCCTTGCTCACTCTCGAGCCCCCTGCTCCCCAGCACCCTATCCCATGCATCCTAGTATACTTCTGTCTGGAATACCTTGAATTCAGGCAGCTGCCAAATCTTGATAAATTCTTCCATCCATTTCTCTTTATTTTCATTGCAGTTGTTGCGAGTGTTCACTTGCTGAGAGCCACTGGTTGAATAGCTCTCTGGCATTATCAGATGTCTCTGATTATTCTTAGGAATCTGTAAATTTGTACGGTCCAGTGGTAATATGATTGGAATTGGAGGGAGTGGGCTAGGTGAGACTTCCCAACACCAAACATTGTCAACAGTACCCTGATGTCAACCCTATGTCATCAGGGGTCACTTCTCAGCCAGTGTGGACCCCAGAAGCAGAGTGTGCTGGGATGTGTTTGATGCAAATGCATGCTCTGCAGCAAGAGGTCAAAATGGAGCCTTTGGATACAGGTGTCAGTCGTGTGCAAAGCCAGTTCCAGTTCCGTGTATCCATTTGCAGCAACTTGAACAAAGGCATGGTTGGAAACCACATGTGAGCGTATCCAAGTGATCTTAAAGAAAACTAATACGATTAAGCCTGGACTTAGAGACGGAAGTATGGTTCCTGTGGAGGCCAATGATTACTGGTGACAGCTGTTACTCTGTCTATTCGAGAGAAAATTGGAGGCAGAAGAGATTTTCTTTCAAGGGACACATTTTGGCAAGTCTGAACCAAGAGGCAGTTCTATCCAGTGTGAAGGGAAGTGTGCTCCTTGGTAAGTGAATGCTGTAGCAAGTGGACAAGGTGCTGGTGGGAGAGGAACACCTTAGAATTGACTGCATTGTACCAACGGTGCTCTAAGAGTTAAGACTGGGCAGGGTGGGACTTGTGACCTTGATGTGTTCTGGGAGACACAGAGCCCACTCACTTTTTTTCTGTGGGCTTCTGTGTTTGATCTGCCTTTGGAGAAAGGACCACCTCTGCCTCCCAAGGGTGTTTTCCGGTGCCCCTTCTGAAGGAGAGTGCCATGGCCCCCAGGCCCCTCCACTAAGAATATGACTCCATGACTTGTGGTCCATATTTCTTAATGTGTCTGGGACGCTGGGATATAGTAGTATTCAATTCTGAGTCCCTGGTGGGAAACACACTTAGAAAAGGAAGGCATTGTCACAGGCCTCTTACAGGATCTTGCTGTGCCTCTGCACGAGGTGGCAGCGGTGAAGGTGTGCGACAGTGAGGAAGGCAACAGGTGACTTGTCACTAGTTGTACAGATTGTTTCCCTACTCAACTATTTTTTATGTTTCATTGCACTGCATCTTTAATAAAATGTAAAAAAGACGTTCATTTTACTTGAAAGTCAGAATTACAGGGAGGGCGGGGAGCAGCGTAGAAATCGAGATCATTCCACCAGTGGTTCACTAACCGCTGGCCACTTAGGGAGTGAATCAACGTATGGAAGATCTTTCTATCTATCCTCTTCTCTGTATATCTAGCTTTCCAATAATCATTAAATTGTGACTTAAAAAAAAGCCACTTGGTCTTCTGTTATGAGGAAGCTATAAAGAGGCAAGTTAAGAAAATATTTAAGATGAGCCTGTGCAGTATGGGTCAAGCAGCTGCTGCTGACTCCCACATTCCCTATCAGGCTGTCTTCTGTCAGTCTCAGCTCCACTTGCCATTGCAGCTTCCTGCTAAGGCATGTCTTGGAAGGCAGCAGCGACAGACAGCTCAAGAAGTGGTGTCTGCCACCTGTGTAGGAGACCCAGATTGAGTTCTTGCCTTCTGGCCTTAGTCTGGCCTAGCCCTGGCTGTTGCAGGTATTTGAAGTGGCAGATGAATAATCTCTGTTTCTCTGTATGCCAAATTAAATGAAAATAAGTGATTGAAAAAAAGAAGCCAAGGGTTTACAAATCGAACAATCTATAGGCCGCTGTGTCATCTTGGGCTTGACCTGGAACACTTAAAATCTGCAGACAGAACGAACAGTATTCAGGTGTGAAGGCGGAGTGAGTGGGATTTGAGCCAATCCCAACTAAAGAATGCGGATATTTTCTTTTCTTTTTCTCTTCCTCATCATTCTTCTCCTTTTTAAGATTTAACTTATGTATTTGAAAGTCAGTGTGACTGAGAAAGAGGGAGAGAGAGAGAGAGAAACCATCCATCACCGGCTCACTTTTCTCAAATGTCTGTGATGGTCATGTCCAAGCTGAGCCAGGCAAAAGCCAGGAAGCCAGAATTCCACTTAGGTGTCCTGTACGGGTGATAGGGACCCAAGCATGCAGGCCGTCTCCTGCTTCTTCCCCACACACATTTGCAGGAAGCTGAATTGGAAGTGGAGCAGCCACCGGGATGCCAGTACTGTGGGAACAGGCTTAATTTATTGTGCCACCATGTTGGGCCTCATCTGTTCTTGGAAATCATCTATATTGAGGTGGTTGTTTGTCACCATGTAGGACAGAGCAGATGAGAGTCCTGGCCTCTCTTGCAAGCTGGACTTGTGCCACCCTCTGCCTGGCTTCCACCTTGTCCGCCTTTTCCCATGGTGCCGGCACTGGGGCCTGTGAAGACATGCATCCCAGACATATTGGAGCACCGCCTCAGCGTTCCAGAAGCCCGCACATCACCATCCATACTGGCAGGTCTTCCTACTCTCCAGGAGATGAGGTTTCAGGTATGTGCTGGAAGGTTTTGGGAAACCCAGTAACCCAGAGTCCCCAGGCAATCTTCTGTGATCCAGGCAGGGGCGTCCTGGACTGCATCTGAGCTTAGTCATAAGAAACAGTGACTTAGCCAAAACCAGGCATGAATTATGTGTCAGGAAAACAGGATAATCTATCTCTGTTTTGCTAGTCATTTGTATAAATGCAAGAGAAGAAGGCACAGACAGCATTGTTCTAAAAATGTCATTATCGTAAGACATAAATGTATATGATCATGAAAGCGTAGTTACCTAGAATAACCTTTGTGTATTGTGCGTGTGTGTGTGTGTGTATGTGTGTGTGAAAAATACACTTTCTCTCTCATTACTTGAAACAATGTTTTCTGTTGATAGACACTTAGGTTAGATAATGGATATATTTCTGTTGCTCTGCCTTTCAAATGAATTTACATAAAACCCTAAAATTAAAAAGAGGAAGAGAGCAGTGTCTGCTCTTCTAGCTTAGGTGCTGATGAAAGCCAGGAAAGAACTTGAGTGCAGTTGGTTTGTGTGGGAGATGACGGCGGGACGTGTAAGTGAGGAAGAGAGCAGGGGCTCATGGGACGAGGGTGACATCCATTAGGGATGGGACCTGTTATGGGTGTCTGGACTCTGGGAGGCTATTGTCTCCTAGGCAGCCGCAGGAGGGTGGGGGGGATGGGGATGCTTATCAGCTACAGAGATTCTAGCTCCAGAACTAGTGAGTGTCCTAGTTTTTGCATAGTGTTCTCAATGCTAATTACAATTACACATTTTAATATTTGCTAACATGATAGGTATAAAATAGTGTCTCATTTGCGGCTATTTTTTAGGCTATGCTCAAACTTTATTTTCTGTTTGTGTCTTATCATTAGAAGAAAGGGGTTACTATTTCTCTGATTGGCCATAATGACATGAATATTTGTATTTTTTGTGTCTTCTAAGTACTTTTCTTAGTTTACCTATTTTGATTTCATCAGTATTTATATTTTTTAAAATAACACTTTTATTCTTTTTCCTTTGTGGTACTTGGGTTTTGATGACAGAAGCATTCATTTTATTTTTTTAATTTTGTTTGTAAGAGATTCATTTACTTACCTGAAAGACAGAGTTACAGAAAGAGAGAGAGAAAGATGCAGAGAGAGATGGAGAGAGAGAAAGAGAAATCTTTTGTTTGCTAGTTATTTCACCAAATGGCTGCTATGGCCAGAACTAGGCGAGGACAAGACCAGAGGTCAGAATCATGGGCCATCTCCTGCTGTGTTTCTCAGGCACCTTAGCAGGCAGCTGGACTGGAAGACAAGAAATTGAAACTCGATCTAGTGCCAATATGGGATGCTGGTGTCACAGGCAGTGGCTTAACTTGCTATGCCACAGTGCCAGCCATATACAGAGGCATTGTTAAGTCCAATACTACAAACAAAAACAACAACAACAACAAAAACCAGACACACAACCAAAAAAATAAAACACTGCTTCTGATTCTTTAAAGTTTCATTTTTATGTACCTTTGCACCAGATGGAATTTCTTTTGGTGTGAAGCAGCATTCATCATGTTTCCCTCAAATGAATTTCCACTTTCTAGGGGTTAGTTTGAAGCATTTAAAAAAAAATTTTTTTTAAGTTCTATTCATGTGTTCATTTGTTTTAAAGATGGAGAGACACAGAGATAGGGAGATGTCTTGGATCTGATCATCGACTCTGCAGATGCCTGCAATAGGCAGGATTGAGCCAGGCTGAAGACAGGAAACAAAACTCCATTCAGGTCTCCTTAACCTGTCCCAAGCCATGGTTTACCTACGTGCCACATGCAGACCCCATATTTTTATATTTTACTTATTCGTTTCTTTATTTCCATCTTATTGGAAAGGCAAAGAGACAGACAAATATCTTCTGTAGGCTGGTTTAGTCTCCAAATGCCTGCAACAACCAATGCTGGAAAAGGCCAAAACTAGTCACCAGGAACTCCATCTTAGTCTCCTATGTGAGCTAACCGGGACCTAAGTGCATGAGCCCTCACTGTGGCCTCCCAGGGAGCGCCTCAGCAGGAAGCTGGAGTAAGGAGCAGAGCCAGGATTCAAACCCAGGCATTCTAATAAGGGTTGCAGGAGGCCCAAACACTGGCTTAACCACTGCACCAAACTTCCTTGCCAAGCTGTTAGCTTTGAAAATATGCATATCAAATCACTGAACAGGACTCAACTCAAGCTTGTTCACCCTGAAGGCGTGTCTTGTGTTGCAGTGACCGTGAGAAGCAGTCGTGATTTCATGGGCTTTCTGCTGCAAGCCCGAAAAGTGTCTGATCATCAAGTGGCTGGCACATTCGTCTTCATCCCTCCTCGTTCTAAACAGATGACTTGTTCTGCAGCAGCCGACGCAGTCACCCACTCCGACAAGTCCCCAAAGAGAAACCTCTCGTTTGTGTGGAAGGCTCCTTCCCAGCCCGTGGGGGACATCAGATTCCTGTAAGAGAGTGAGGCATGATGTTGTCCCAGCATCTGAGCTCTCCGCCTCAAACAGAGACGAACACCCATGATCCCTCACCTCCAATTCTATTCACGTTGAACACCAGGGCTGCCTGGACTAGAAAAACTTTGCAGAGGGCCACCCAAGCAACTTGGCCTCCACCTCACACACACAGCTCCCCCACTACCTGCCCTTGGCCGTGATTCATGGTGAAAGACAGTGTCACTTCTCTTCCTCCCTAGGCACAGGTGATATTGGCCAATCCCTCCAGGGAATTCCAATGAAGGGACATTAGGGTTGGTGGCAGGATAGTAGGACAGAGCTGATGGACGCAGAGGTGGACAGACGGACCCTCCCCTAGACCCACTTACCTTGCTTGGCCTTCACTGGCCATCTGTCAAATGGGCATAATGGTGACAACAACTGCCTGTTAGCACTCTGCGAGGGAGAAAGAGCCAGTGAGCTTAGAGCAATTCCTGGGAACAGTTCCTGCTACATGTGGACACTTCAAAAACACATGAAAAATTCAATGTAATTAAAAATATATATATATTTCAAAAACACAAAAACACATGAAAAATGGCAACAAAAAACCAGTTTATTTTGGTGAAGCAATATTGAAACCCAGATATAGTAAGGGTCTTCAGAAACTTCATAGGAAAGCACATCATGAGAACAAACTATGCATGGCTTTCAAACATTTCACATGAAAATAAACCCAATCCCATTTTTTCTGTAAACCTTTTGAAGTTCCCTTTGTGTAAGTGAGCATCGTTATTAATCAAAATGTGATATTTGCTTTGCCATTTTTATGGAACACTTACCTGCAAAGTTGTAGTAGTAGTGTTTGTGTGTCTGTCTGTCCGTCTGTCTGATTTCACGAAGAAAGTTGTATCCCTCAGCTGCTTGCCCTTACCACCCTCATAAACGCTTGAGAGACTTGCCATAACCCAGCTTCTGCCCATGGCTTTGATCCTTACTCGGTGCCGAAGATCTTTGCCATTTGAAGTCCTTAAGTCTGTAGTCACTTTGATTTCTCAAAGCTCCTGTGGCTATTTTTTTTTAATACCCCAGCACAGTTGGTATGTGCTACATGGATATCCTTCGGAAACTACGATCTCCGCTTGCCAGGAAACGGTGCTGAGTCATCATCACACCAGTGTCCCACAAAAGCATCATCAGCTGGGTCCACAAACCACACGCTGGAGACCTGACCTCTCATTCCTTCTGCGCTTTGGCTCTCTGGTTGGCCTCGCCTAAATGAGTCACATTTTTGGGTCTACCTTCTTGATACTTACAGGGAGGAGGCGGTGGGGAAAGGACACTTGTCAATGAACCTATACTCTGAAACTTTGGGAATTATAAATAGGATGTTACTGAAAGTGACTTTTAGCAAGGAAAGGCATTGGGTGTTCAAAAGATTTCTTCACTTATAACTGATTTAATTCTCACTTTCAATTCACAATTACAATAGAATTATATGATAAAATATGGACTCTTCGATAAACAATGGAGTGAGCAGTATGTCAGTAATGACTAATAATAAAGTTGAAGATGAAGCTTTTTGTTTGAGGTGAAATACTCCAAGAATACAACTTTTGAGCAAAATGAGATATTTTCAGTGACTATTTTTATTCAGGGGGTAATTGATTTGTCCACATCCTTTCTTATTCTCACGAGTTGTTGCTGTTGACTTTCTGTTTTTAAGAAGCAAAAAGTCACTCAAAGGATGATAACATAAACTCTTGCTCATTCTATTCATGCAGGTGTCTTTGAGTGTGCTTTTTCCTTTCTGTTACTCTGCTCTGAGGTATTACTCAAAAGGTACTAAAGCTGTGACCCACTCAGCTCTCTCTTTCACCACAGTTTATCAGTGGTCCAGTCCTATTTCATTTACTGGGCAAGGATTGAGTCATCTATTGTGTCTCAACATACACAGAGCAGAGGTGATTCAAGCGACCACATGGAGCCCAGATTTTTGATGCCCACCCCTCGGCAGAGACCAGATGATACAGAAGCAATTGCCTCAGGTACGGCTTTCCACTATGTTCACTTGTTTGATTCTCATCATTATTTTTACAGTCATCTGTATTGATTTATAAGTTCCTATGGTTAGTGTTCTGTCCATACAAAACAATAATGAAACACCTGCTTGGGTTGAACTGCAGCAGTTCTTGGGGCTGTGATTACCTGTGAAAGAGAGGAAGGCTCACCATGCTTTGTTCATTGCAGCCAAACACACTGCGGCTCAGCCTAGAAAGTTAAATTGGGTGCTGGAGCAGACAATCGGACCTGTGTAGCAAAATGAAAACACAGGGCACATGTTCTTCCACCCTTGTATTCAGCACAATTGTAGCTCTTTTCCTTAACCCCCTGAAGCCACACCGAAGCACAAAAATGAGAGAAGAAAGAAAGAAAGAAAGAAAGAAAGAAAGAAAGAAAGAAAGAAAGAAAGAAAGAAAGAAAGAAAGAAAGAAAGAAAGAAAGAAAGAAAGAAAATAGAGGAAAGAAAAAAAGAAATGAAGGAAGGAAGACATAGTCCCTCCACTTTTTTAAAAACTAAAAATTCAACCAGGTTCTCCTGTCACTTTCCTTGGTAGGAAGAAAGCTCTTTACAGCCTGGGTCACAGAACAAGTCAGGGAGAAGAGGTTGTTTCAAGGGGAACAGACCTTTCCCTGGCTCACCATGTGACTTTCATTCTGTTGGTGCATGAACTTCTAAAAAAGAAAAGCAAACAGAGAAAAGAAATCCTGATCAGCTAGAGAATGTTTGACCTAACTGAAAATTCCTGGTGCTGTGGAACTTGTTTTCATCATTCATTTCTGGTTAAGGGCCCAGAGCAGAGCACTGATAAAAAAGCACCCAAGCTTGGCACGGAAGGTCCCATATTAACCCATCCGACACCAACGGCCTTCCATGTCTGCAAATACGTGAAGGCCACAATCTGGCCAGAGCCACCACTGCTGCTCAGTACAGCAGACACAGAGACACCTGGGGCCAACAGTTTCTCTGTTTTTACCCAAAACCCTCATCTTCTCCCATTGGTTGGTACCTGTTCTTCAATCTTTCTACCCTGGTACTTTGCGTAGTAGAGCAAAGACCCTGGGGTCTAAAAGTGTGGCCTGGAGCAGATCCCACAAACCCAACAGGTATTTAAAGTCTATTGGTTTATTTTATAAATCATGCAAGTGTTGCATTCTAATCCCAAGGAAATCATGTTTGCTAGAATATAGATATAAATAAAAGTTGGTATCAGGTTAACCTTTGACATCTCCAATACCTAACCTCACTGGAAAACTTTTCCCCTTCCCTGTATATCACACATGCCAGTCTGAGATGCTTACAGGGTCAAACCTTCACATGTCTCCCTTTCTAGCTCCAGCCTGGCAGATCATTGGATGCTTTGAGTGGCTCACACTTCATTGTCAATGTTTAATTCACATTAAAGCTTCCACTAATTGTTTACCTCTTGCTGTAGTTGTTTGTTCTAATCCATTCAGGGAACATGTCTCACCCTGTCTCTCTGTGTCTTTGGGTCTCTGCTTAGCTCCCAGTGCCCCCACGACCCTTCCTCAGCAGCGCGCAGATGTCTTAGCTGTTATCTTTACTGGAACTGTGGAAGAAGATAGCCTATATCCTGTTCATACCAGCACTTGGATGACTGAGTTTCCTGGGGAGGCAGATACTCTGTCCCAACCATCTCCATACACGGTGACTGCAGGCAGTGATGGGCAGCAACATCTCAGAGACAGCATCCCACTCCCAGAACCATCCCTGGATGTCCGTGAGCTGGAGCAGCATATGACCCCCAGGAGATTCTCTCCAGAGGATTTTGCTTCCAGCTTGAGCACCCACCATGGGTAATGCTGTTATATTGGATTACCAGTGTGGGTGTTGGGCCAGGGAAAACACTGGCTAAAAAAAAAAAAAATGATCTCAACTGTATGTATTTCTAAATGTGTGGGCACCTGATTATTGAAGAACTACTGATCAGCATGGCTGGGTATCATAATTACCCAGGGAAACTATACTCTCCTAGACTGCGTGGGTCTCTCAAGCATCATTACAAGTAAAATATAGTGTTTTAATATGTTAAATGTATTTATAATATCATAGTATAGAGAAATGTAATTCCCATTAAATAATAAATGATGATATTTTGTAATTCTTTGTCACTATCTTCATGTCGTACCTGCCCCATGACTCTTGATGTCAAAATCTGGAAACCTTATTTCATCAGTATATACAATAGCAGTAAGAAACATTGATTTTTGGTCCAAATATCTGGGGACTCCTCCTCTCAGACTTTGCATTCTTCCATTTAGGGCTGAGAATGATCCAAGCTTTGATTCCTTGGGCACTTGCCTTTCCTCAGATATGGATACACAGGTAGGAGTGTGCATGGTAAGTTGGGGCTGAGGCCGGCCCATTTGATCTCATCAGAGTGAGGAGTTCTAGGTTGGGTGATCAGAACCAAAGTCAGAGAGCAGGAGGCATGAGTGCAATGTACACACTGTCTTTTTCCTGATCAATACCAGCCTTTCCATCATATGCAATATCTTTGAAGCTATTGGTAATTACAGAAATTGGTGATTTATTTCCCCACTTAGCCTTGGTTAATAATTCCTTTCTTCTCTCCTTCTCAACCCCTCCTTCATAGCATCAGCTTCAAAACACCACGTATGGTCCCAGAGGTTAAATCAATGGGCAATATAAAATATACACGCCCACTGATTTACTATTCCTTTGAAATCTTAGAACACAAAATAAAACATGATATAGTATTCTTACTTAAATTTATGGGAAGCTACAGTAAGATTAAGTGATCCCTCTTTCATTGGTTTTGCCATAAAGACACACTGAAAGCTTTCAGCTGTTGCAGATGATGCAAACACCTATATTTGCTTAGCTCTCTCTTAAAGGACCCTGAGTTTGTTCTTGTAACTGGACTCTGTGCTCAGGGTTCCCATTAGTCATGCCATCCCCATCAATAATAAGTGCATATTTATGTACCTGGGCATTTTGCTGTGCACTTTTGCAGGAGCAGGCATGGAGACATGGGTTGCAACTGCTGTTCAAGAGTTTTTAAAAAGCACAAATTAGCTGCAAGTTTAGTAGCATTTTTTTCCCCCTCTCTGTTTTTCTAGGACAAGACAGAGGATTCTAATAGAACTGGGACAAGGCTGCCTCTGGCCAGTGTCACGCTCACCTATCCTCAGTACCTCTGGCCTTCTGAAACCTTCACTGGGAATGAAGCTACCATCAAGCCAACCCCTGTCTTCCGTACCTCCTGCACTGCCAAGGCACCCATGCCTTCTGCCAGCTTCTTACCTCAGTTGAAGCTTGAGGAGCCCAGAGTCAAAGAGAACAAGGGAAAGGTTGGCATGGGAACCCCTAGGAAGACCAACCTCAGACCAGAGGTTGGGATAGAAGGAGGCAGTGCTCCTTTGGGGATCCAGCTCAGAACTTCCCAGCTGGGAATCTTGCTCTGCCTGTCAGCTACCCTGGGAATGGTCCTGGCTGCGGGAATTTGCTATCTGCACACCCAGTGTTACCGCAAGCGGACTCAAGTGTCTCTGAGGGAACCTGCTGCAGAAGCTGTTGTAGGGAGTGATGGTGGTGAGCCGGTGCATGTCAGGAAGACTGGGGAGAACAGTTTTGTTCTGGCTCAAGCAGACTACAAGTAGATTGCTCCTTCTGTGGGTAGCCAGAGGCCCCTGAGAAGGCTGTCCTATCTCTCAGTGGTCTCCTCAGCTCCTGTAGCGTGTCTCAGTCAGAACAGAGCTAATGAGAAACCCTGATGAGTATAGGAACCGGCGGGGGCCCCTGTCAGCATGCAGCCAGTGGAGGAAGCAGCGAGCGGACAGTTCTATCAACACAGGGAGTGCTTCCCGAGCTTTGTTGTCTTAACATCTGTAATTTCACTTTTTTATTCTTTTTGCAATTAGGCGTTCTGTTTGAAGAGTTAAACTCAACACAATGAATATTGTATAACTTGCTCATTAACTAGACTCCTGTGGCCGCTACGCTTCCTCTGTTGCCTTGAGGAACCTGCAGAAATAGAAACTCTGTCCCCACTTGGTGTCTCTGCCTTACCTCCCCTAACTTTTGCAAAAGATTTAATGTGAAGTTCGTGTCTCTTGCTAGAAAAAAAGAACTTCAACACCCACCTTGCCTCTCTTGTTTTTTTGTTTTGTTTTGTTTTGTTTTGTTTTGTTTTGTTTTGTTTTCAAAATGAAGAATTCAAAGCTAGCTGGAGGTCTGAGGCAGTTGGCTGGGTGAATGCAATCATATGCAGGCTTCTTAGAAATTTGGTAGCCTGGAAAATCCACCATGGAAATTGATCCAAACTAGGGGAAGGTTTAGAGTGCTTGACTGAGCAAACCCCCTTTTCAGAAAGATCCATACAGCATGAGGCTGTGAACACCAGGTGGATAAGAAAGAATCTCCAACAGGTGCAAGTGGAGCTGGGACCTCTCATCCACTTACACCTGATGGGGAGACTAGGCTATGCCAACAGTCCACAGATGACCTTTTGCCAAAGATCAGGCTGAAAAAAGTTATTTTTAACCCGCATACTTTACAGAGCAGCCTTTTGTGTTCTCTCAAAGGATGCCAGCAGAGACCATCAAGCACAGAAGTCATTGATCTGTTCCCATAACTTCATGAAGATGTCTTTGATTTAGTATTAATTCCATAGATACTATGTGTGAGGTCAAAACATCTTAAATATAGTCAGCTACTATAGTATAGTGGAATTAGTTGCCTTTTCAGAAGTAAACATGCTACAAAGCTATGATCCAGTTTAACGTGGAATCAAAAATCATGACAGCTTTGAAATAAGTGTTTGTTGAGTGTCTAATTCGTATATAAGCAACTATGCTAAGAGACTTGCATTATTTTTACGTTTAATCTTTGTGAAATTCAATGTGAAAAAATAGTCTCTACTATTTTCCAGCTTCCTGTAACTCATTGGGCATGTCACAAGACCCTGGCCCCTGGTTTCTGCACAAGGTCACTGTGTTCCTTGGTACATGGAGACCTGGGTCATTAGGTACATGGAGACCTGGGTGATTTGTGTGTTCACACATTAATGTGCTCTAGAAATGCCATGGAAAGCAAATGTGCCGTGTTCAATGGGCCTTACAAATAGCCTCCCTTCCTACCCACTGTCCTCAGAGACGTTTTCACCAAAACACAAATGAAGGCTCCTTGCCCACATTATGTTAAAGCCACATGCACCACAAAAACAACATCTTCAACATATTTGACATCCAAGAGGCAAGTTTCCTTTGTGAACAGACTGAGTTACCTACTCACGTGAAACAAATTACCCCATAACTTATCAGTTTAAAGCAACCTTTACCACTGCTGCTCATGGTCTTTCATAATTAGAGGCCTTGTCTGGGCTCATCTGGGCAGTTCTTCTGCTCTGTGTGTCATTGAATGGGCTGGAGCATCTGAGATGATTTGTTCAGACTGCTGGCAGGTGCTGATTGGCAGCCAGAAGCTTCCTGAGGGCTGTTAATAGAGTTGGGGTGAAATTTGGTTTTCTTCTTTGTGGCTTCTTGTACCATGGCTTTCCAAAAGCAACATGCCACTTGACCAGGATCTGCACGTCTCTTAAGATCAGCCTCAGAAGTTAGATGGTTTTGCAAGTCACAGCACTGATCCTCTTTAATTAGAGGGAAAGATATTACAGTTCTCTTTGGGATGAGAAGAAAGGCAAAAGAGAAGCAACTGTGTCTATTCATGACAACTTGGGGCCACACTGCCATCCTGTCACAGGAGAGACTGCTCATCCTTGGGAAGGTACCCCAAGACTCCTTCCCTGCAGTGCTTCAAAGCAGACAGGAGAATGGAGGGAAATCTCCAAATTTCAGGATGAAGCATTTCTTCCTTTCCACCTGGGCTTCCAGTTCAGGCAAAATAGTGACATGATGCAGCAAGGTTAATCTGACCTCTGAGCTCTGCTTCCTTATCAGAGAAAAGTGGATCAGAATGTGGTCCTTTGGGTTGTTGTGACATGCAGATATGCAGATATCTGTCGGAAACCATCTGATTGAAGTTGTGGTTGGTGTCAATTCACAGTGACTGTAGCACTATGTTTAAATTAGGCTACATAGAGAAATCCTGGGACTAGCAAGAAAACAACATTTCCATTCCTCGACAACTTCCCTGGCACCCCTGCCTTCCACCGTTTTCTACAACTGGAGGCATTCGGGGCATGGTTACCATGGTATCCTCTGGCTGTAACCCTGCTGGGGGTCAGATACTCCTGCAGCAATGTTCCTTTGCAGAGAGCAGCTGGAGTCACAGCCTGCAGTCCAGTCACATAAAATCCCTCTGCTATTGTGAACCTGGAGAAGCCCCAGAGGGGAGAGAGAACGAAGTATCCCTCAATTGGACCACTGTTACAAAAGCACAAAGCCATGCAACTTCTAGGAAGGCAAAGGGACTCTAATGTAACATCTTAAAATAGCATTTTTGTTTGTAAGAACAACTGCAAAATTGTTCTGGTGACCTCTTCTCGGAGGAAAAGAGCTTAAGGGCTAAACACAAAGTTAAGGAGAAATAGTGAAAAGACAATGACTAAAAACTCTTTTTATCTTTTAAACAAATGTTTTTACATCTGTTGTGCTAATGTAGTAACCACAATTCAGGGGGTAAGGGTGGGCCTTAAGCTTTTCACATTCAGGGACTGTTTTGGAATTTTACCAATTAATTTTCCCCATGGATATGATTCTGGTGACTCACAATGTAGTAACTGTAGCTGAACTACCTCACAGTACGGACTGCATCCACTTGAATCCACTCAAAGTTGTAATTATTTATTGAATGTTTTATTTAACTTTATTTGGAAAGCAAAGAAGAGATAAATCAGGGAGATCTCCCATCTGCTAGTTGACTCCCTAAATGCCCGCAACACCCAGGGCAGGGCCACATTAAGGCCAAGAGCTGGGAATGCCATCAGGGTCTCCCATATGGGTAGCAGGCTTCCAACCTCTTGTGCCATCGCCTGCTTCCTACCAGAATGCACATTTTAAGCAATTGTATGAGTAGAAAAATAAAAGCTGAGTGCTCCAGGTGAAGCTTGTGGATAACTTGCCCTCCTCTTTCCTTGCCTCGGTCTCCCTTTCGCTTCACAGTGAAGCACTGCCTAAGCAGCAGAGGGCTCTAGGAGCCAGTGCTGGGCAACAGTGGGCTTAATTTATGACACTAGTAACCCTTATCAGAGTGGCGATTAGAACTCTGGGTGCTCTGCTTCTGATCCAAATCCCTGCTAATGCACATAGGAAAACAATGGAAGATGAGTCACTTGTGTGCACCTGCCACATACTCAGATGGGATTCTGGGCTGTAGCCTGGTCAGCCCTGACCATTGTGACCATTTCGGAGGAGTGAGACAACAGGTGGAAGATCTCCAACATCACTTTTTATTTTTGTAAAGAAACTAAGGTTCCAACCACGAACAATGCCTTCTCTTTGTAGATAAGGAGTAACAACCAGACAACAAGTCACTCTAGGGCAGTCTTTGGATTCCTTTGTCTCAACATGACTTCTAAGCCATATTGATAGCTCATTTGTCCTGGAGCATATTGGATGCTGTCAATATTTCAATGGATTCGAAGAGAGCCTGCAGCAAGCAGAGGTCCATTGGGAATGATCAACCTACATCTGCCAGGGGAATGATGGGATCTTGGGAGCTTGGGACTCATGGCAGCCAACTGAGCTGCCAGGCTGTGACCAGGATTCTGTGCTGGCTGAACAAAGGAAAGAGGAGCCCACAGACCGGGATGGGGAAGGGCCAACCATCCTTATTCGACGACTCAGCTAGAGTCCAGTGCTGTAAGAAGATAGTTCTCAGGGGTTTCAGCCTCCACCTTGACCTTGCTGAGTCCTTTCTTTGGACTCTGCATTTTCCTCCCTTCAAATGGCACCTTGAGAGCCGCTTCCACTCAGCTGGTGACAGACAGTTTCTACAAAATGCTTTGTTACTTTATAGAGGAAAGAGATTGCACGGGAATATATTCCACTGGATATTAAAGAGCATATTTTCCTGATTTATAGTCAGGCTAGGCAGGGTTGTCTGAGAGGAAAAAAAAAAAACCACTGGGGATATCCATTTTGACTAATGATTAATTATTATCTCTAAAGTGATGTTTTCCTATCAACTGATAGGCTGGAAAAATAGACCAAAGCTTGCTAGGTTAGCACCATGGGTCACAGATGTTGCCGCTGCATTTTCAGATTATATTATCCATTACAGGCAGCACCTTCTCATTTAGAAGCATAATTTGTTGTTCTCCCAGACCTCCCCCCCCAAAAAAAGGCTGACATTTCACATGCAAGCCAAAGATTAGAATCACTGCCCAGGACTGCATAGGGAAGTACATTAGGGTGGGGTGTCCCTGAATCAAGGACACCAGGCAGCTGGTGCCCAGAGAGATGTCACGTCCAAGGCAGAGACTCCTGATCTTTATTATGCAAATGTACCGCCCCCGAAGCCAGGCTGTTTAACCTCATCAGGGGAAATGTCACCGATCATTTCAAGCTCCAAACCCAGCATAAGCATTAGTACTATTATGTTATTATTATTATTATTTGTAGGGCATATGTAAGCCTGAGCCCTCGGAATAAGCTGAGTCTCAATTGCCCAAATGCTCGGGGATTGAAAATCAACTCCT